CTGGGTTCTATTCCCAGCTCTTCCACAGATTCCTATACAATCTTGGGCACATCAATTGTGTCTCTCAGTTTCCCCATCCATAAAATGGGGCTAACACATACCACAGTAATATTATTTAAGCTCCTCTGATGAAAGGTGATAATTATTTTTTAATACCACCATGCTATTAAGCTCCCCTTCCCCACATCATAGCTTTTTCAAGGTGATGGCAAACAGCATTCCAAGTTACACATAAAACAGTTTGTCTAGCCTTAATGATTGAAAGTGATGGATTTATTAATATCTTTTATAGCGATTTGAGGGGTGGAGGACATACAGTAGAAAGAGCCTTCAGCACTGCTTAGAGGATTAGCTAGTGCAGGAATACCCAATCAGGTGCAACATACAAGCTACAAGACATAGCATACTGAAGCTGTACTCAGCTTTAATGCAGAGATTACAGGTCCCAGCGTACAATGTTTGATATTGTTCATCACACATCATAATCGGTTGTCTCAATGAGATAACAGCCACTGTAGAACTACATAGGGCACTTGTGGCTACCCCTAGTCTGGCTTCTATGACTACAAAAGAACCACCACCAAATATCTACACATTTTCAACTCTGCTGGGAAAAGCAGATTATTCTCTTTCGGTGTAGAGATGCAACACAAATGGAACTGAAAATTTTGAAGTAGTTTAGATTAATGTAAGCTTAGAGTGAGAAAGTGTGCTAAACTTTAAGATGAATTGTTATGATTGGCACTTGATTACAGTTCACAAAGTGAAAAATTATTTCAGCCACTGTGACAGACTAAATTAAAAACCCACTGCAGAGAGATCACTACATTAAGAACAACATTATACTTTAAAGAGCAAGATACCAAACCTATCAATTTATTTATAGTGATAATTTAGAAATCTTTGGCTACTTTGTTTGCATAAGATTTTTAGCAGTGGGCCAGAATTTTCTTATGCTAAAATACAATGCAAAACATCATGAGCACACAAAGCAAGAAGAACTGTATCTCTGCAAAAATAGAGATGAAATGCACAGAGAAGTACAGTGCCAAGCAACTGTTTACTCTGAATAGATTTTCACCTATTGTATAATGTTGAAATACATGCAACAGCATCCTGAACCGTAGCAAATGGGAGAGGCAGTACAGTCTACTGTACAATGGGCAGACCGCGGGCCAAATCCTGACTGCCAGATGCTTTTGAACAGACCCCAAAATCTTTTTATTTACTTATCATCATCATCATCATCATCGTTATTTTTTAATTATTTTCTCTGGAGTCTGGACCTTGACAAAAAATAATTGACTACCCCAGTCTACTGGATAGAGCACTGAACTGGTACTGAGACTTGGGATCTATTCCTGACTCTGCCACTGGCCTTTTAGATGACCATTCTGTGCCTCAGTTTCCCCATCTTAAAATGGGGTTAATGATACTGACCTCTTTTGTAGAATGCTTTGATATCTAGTGATTAAGCTAAGAGACCGGTATTATTATTATTAATCAATATTAAATGCACTGTACTACTAAATATTCTGAACAAAAAGAGGAGCAATTTTAAAGCCACAATTAATATATGCTCTTCTCTCTGCAGAACCTCATTAAAAAGAGGACCTATTCAGCACTCATTTCACAGGCAAAACTCCCCTGGACTATTTTAGAATAGATGACATGAAAACATTCTGTTTAAAAATGATTTTGTTTCCATTGTGCATCTCCTGTATTCTTCATTTCTCTTCCACAGTTCTTGATTATTAATCACATCTGTTTGACATTAGGATCTTTGTCTCTTAATAGTTCGAGAGAAATGGCAATGGGAGTTGATGAAGTCAAGTTCCACTAATATTAAAAATCTTTTCCACAATCATCAATGTTTAAGTCACAAACAGAACAAGCAGACACCAGGTGGAAAGAAAGATCCTGCTTTCATGGAGACTACCATATTTATCAAGGGCAAGTGGAGAAAAATACAGAAAGTATATGACATACAATAAAAAAAAAAAAAAAAAAGCTTTGCTTGTAAAAAACATCAGTTAAGGAAAAAAATAAGTTCCAACAGGCTTTAGCAGCTCTTTAACCAAGTCCTTCCTTGACAGCATAAATCCACCTTCAGAACTCTCTCTCTCCCCCCTTATCTGCTGTGTCTCATCACATCACCCCTGCTGATTCAGCACATCTTTGTTGCTATCCTCTCCAAAGCACAGTGTGAAAATTATAGTTGCACCTAACCCTGCAGAACCCCCAAAACAGGGGGGTGAGGAAATATTACCAGCCCTCCTCTTGGAGTTAATACCTCCCCCCCCCAGCATAAAACTGTCTTCTCTGCAGCAACACGGGTGTTGTTTCAGCCTTTTTATCCCCAGACCGCTGACTTCGTCTACATCCTCACTAGGGAATTAAACATAAACCACCCTTCGCTTATGATCATCAGTTCATCTGAACTGCTGGGAGCCCAAACGTACATCAGGCTTTGGTAGCTGGATGCATTTTCACGAGTGTGCCAGCAGTAAAAATGGGCCTGGTCACTGGAGCCTTTTCTACAATGGACTCCCACCAGTTCAGCTGAACTGATGGCAGCAGTAGGGGATTTTCAATAGGCTAAACTCCATAATGTAGACAGAACTTTACAGCGGAAAGCAGAATCTGCTTTTTTGCCTGCCCAGGTGGGTGCAGGTTAAAACAGAACAGGGTCTTGTTCCTGATGTGCAGTGCACAATGCCTTTCCTTCCCACGGGTGTTTTCAGGATTATGTTCTCAACACATCTGTTGGAAAGTGCAAGGAGGGCATTCCTGCCATTACCTCTCCACTGTCAGCAGGGCCGGTGCAAGGAAATTTCACGCCCTAGGCGAAACTTCCACTTTGTGCCCCCCTCCCAGTCCTGCGGCAGCTCCCCACCCCCCACCCCGCCCTGAGGCGCCCCCCCGCAGCAGCTCCCCCCCC